CCTCCTCTTGGGACAGCGCGATGTTCAGCCAGGTCTTGGCCTCCTGGAGGAGTATGGGGGCCGGGGCCCGGCTGTAGGAAGCAGGAGGGGCCGGGCGGAGACACAGGCCAAGGGGCAGACCTCACCTCCAGGGCATTTCCCGCCCGCAGCCGCAGCTCCTCCCTATAGTGATGCACGGCTCCTCGCGGGTCCTTCATGTCCCCCAAAGTGGTAGCAAGAGACACGTGGATGACGGCCAGCTCGGGCCCTGGCCTGCTCAGCAACTCTGCAAAGCGCAGCTAGGAAATCCGTGCCAGTAAGGACCAGAACCCTGGCTGCCCACCTGGCCGCCTGCCTGCCTGGATGCCCACCTGCTGCTGGTAGGCCTCCGCTGCCCTGGGGAAGTCGCCCGCCTTGGAGAACAGGTCCCCCAGCTGCTCCCAGATGCCCATGGCGCCCTGAGCGTCATTGGCCTCCGCCTCCTCTAGCTGCTGCTGCAGCCGGACCACAGCCAACACTGCCAGAAAGAGCGGGGGTCAGCCCGTGCCCTCTGCCAGCCACCTCCCGCTCTCCTCACATAGCTCGGAAGGGATATGAGAGCGCCTGCCTCAAGGCTGTACCACACAGGGAGAACTGAAAATCTACAGCCCGGGGCAGTGCCTGGCCCCCGCGGTCAGGCCCCGTCCCCCCATGACACACAATTGCGGAGCAGTGCAGATGTTGGCTACGAGCCAAGACCCAGCCAGTCTCCTGACCAGCCGCAGCTACTCTCCTACTCAGGCTTGGGGCTCCCTCCCTGCCACAACGCGGCTGCCTGCTCACCATGCCGGAGGGCCCGGCCCACGACGGCCTTCTGTGCTGGCTTCTGGGGGCCCAGCCGGTAAGCTTTCTTCAAGACTCCCTTAGCAGCCACAAAGTCCCCCACGTCCTGGAGCACCTGCAGAAAAAAGCGAGCCTGGCAAAACCCGGACTCCTCCCCCCTACTGTGCCCATGCACCTGCACCAGGAGCAGGTGGCTGCCACCCCCACGCACCTGTGCCAGGAGCAAGCAGCAGTCGCTCTCCATGCCGGCCCTCCTCATGGCCCGTGCACACTCCCGGGCCCCCTCCAGGCAGCGCAGGGCCTGTGAGGGCCGACCCCCGCGCCAGTGCAGGGCACCCAGGTTGTAGCGCGCCCGGAACAGGTCCTCATAGAGGTGGTTCTGCCTGCAAGAGAACTAGCCTGAGCACCACCCCGACCGCCACCCCCTCCCCGCCCTGTCCCACCTAAGCGGTGGCTCACTCTGCCAGGAAGACGCTCTTGCGCAGGAAGTCCCGGCACAGAGCGGGCTCCTGCAGGCTCTCGAAGGTGAGGCCCAGGTTCAGGTACAGTCGCGTCCTCATCTCGCTCAGCTCACGCTGGGCCAGCGTCCCTGGGGACAGCCCACGCCACACTGGGTCCTCCAGGCGGCGCTCTACCAGCCCCGCTGCCTCACACGGAGGGGACAGGAGACAAGAGGAGGCGGCAGGCCTGCTAAGCAGGGAGGCCAGGGCAGGGGCGGTGGGGGTGGTGGCCGCGGTCTGCCCCGTGTGGGGTGCAGGCTTGGGCCCAAGGGTGCTCACCCTCCAGCTCCCGGTCCACGATGGCCAGGCTCCTCTCGAAGGCGGCCCGTGCCTGCAGCAGGGCATCCTGCGACTGCTGGTGATCGTAGACGTCCAGGTGGGTGCGGCCGATGGTGGCCCAGGCCCTCTGCAGCTCCGTGGGGTTGGACAGAGACTCAGCCAGCTCCAGGTAGCGGTGCTGGTGCTGGAGACAGGCGGGGCCACCGCAAGCTCGTCCCGACTGCAAACACCCAGCTGTCTCCCGACTCCAGAAGCTCTACCCTCGCCCGGTGAGCTCCACGCTCCCCCAAAACCCAAAGGACAGCCCAAGTTGGACGACTCATTCCCCACGCCCCCAGCTGCGCAGTGTCGTGGGGGGGTCAGAACAGCGGTGAGCACGCTCTGCCCCAGAACAGGGCCGGGCCGGGCCGGGGCCGACGCCCACCCCCCCCCACCCCCACCCCCAGCCAGCACGGGACCGGCTCAGCAGGTGCGGGGCTGTGCGCGGGCACCCCCCGGGGCGCAGGCCGCCCTCTGGGGGTCGCGGGGTCGCGGGGGGCGGTGCCGGCCGCGAGCGCCCACCTGCAGCGCGGCGGGGTAGTCCTCCATCTCCGCCAGCCGCTCTCCGATCTTGCGGTGGGCCACGGCGCAGCCCAGGGCGTCGCCGGCGCCCTCCAGGAGCAGCAGCTCCCGCCGGTGCTCCTGCAGGGCCTCCGGGTAGCGGCCTGGGGGCACCAGGCCTCTGTCGGCGGGCAGCGGCCAAGGGCTGCCTGGCCGGGTGGGGCCGCCCGGAGGCTCCCAGTATCCCGGCCGGGCCGGGGCGCCCTCCTTCCCCGCCCGGCCCCCGCCCGGCCCCCGCCCGGCCCCCGCCCGGCCCCGCCCCGCCCCCAGCCCAGGCCCCGCCCCCAGCCCGGCCCCGCCCCACGCGCGCCCAGGCCCCGCCCCCGCCCGGGCGTCGCTCGCACCATGACCGGCCAGGAGCTCCCCCAGCTGGTGGCAGAGGGCGGCCTCCTCCCGCGGCTGCCCACTCCTCTGGGCCTTGGCCTTGGCCTTGGTCAACTCTGCAGAGAGAGGAGAGAGTCCGGGGGGCTGACCCCTCCCCGCGGGCCACCGCCCGGGGCCGCTCGCCCGGCCCCGACGCTCACCGCGGAGGTCGCGCTCCAGGCTCATGGTCCCGCCGCGCGGCGCCGACTTCCCGCGCTCCCGCGGCCCCGCCCACCCGCCGCCCGCGGAGCACGCCGGGAGGTGTGGCCCGCCCGTCGCTCGCGGAGCACGCCGGGAGGTGTGGCCCGCCCGCCGCCCGCGGAGCACGCCGGGAAGTGCGACTCGCCCGCGGCGCATGCCGGGAGTTGTAGTCTGGGGCCACCGGGGTCGGCCGGCGAAGGACTCGCGAAGTCCTGGGCCGAGCGGCCGGAAGGTGTGCGGAGAGCGCAGTGGGGTCGGGGCCGAGAGGGTTAGGGTCCTCGGCTACGGGCCCTCATGCAACACCTCAGGCAGGTGCCACTTGGCTGGGCGGGTGCCGCGTCGCGTTCGTGGAGTCGGACGTCCCCGCCCTTGCGCGGAAGCCCCTTCTTTTGGGGCGAGGGGGTGTCTCATGCGGGCGGCACGGAACCACCTGTCGGGTCGCGGCGGGAATCGAGCAGCGGACCTGCCCCTGCTGCCTGGGCGCCCACCACCCCCAAGGCCTGCTGGGCTGAGCCTGAGCGTGCGTCCGGCGCTGGGCGGGGGAGGCTGCCCGTGGTCAGTGTGCAGGCCACGGAGGGAGCCAGGGTGCTGCCCCGGGATGCAGGGGCTGCGGCCTGAGCGGCAGGGCTGGGAGGGTTGGATTCGGAGGGCGCCTTGACGAGTGAGGTGCTCTGTCTACACCCGCCAGCCTTGGAGTTAGGGGCAGGCCAGGGGAGACCAGCCAGGTGGGCAGCCCCTGCCCCCCGGATGGTGGGGTAAGCAGCTCAGCCCAGGTCCTGGGGCCTGGTTTACCTCCACAGAGGATTCAAGGTCTCCGTGCCTCAGTTTCTCCACTGGTCAACGGGCACGTACATGAGACGGTGCCAAGATGGACAGCCCAAGGAAGTCCACCTCCGGAGCTGTCTTGTCTCCAAAGAAAGCACGGAGCGTGGTTTGGGATTTTAAACCATTGTTACAAACAGAAAACGTCCCAAGAGCACACAGACCACGAAGACGAGTCATGTCCGACATCGGCAAAAACACCTCTTGCTCTGCTCTTTAAAAAATTAATTTTATTACTTTCTGTAAGTGTCTCACTTTGGGCGAACTGAGGGAGGATGCCCGTGGGGTGGGGAAGCGGAGGGGCGGCCCCCACCTGCTGGGCTGGGCCCCCACGCGCCCCCTCAGGGGAGAAGTGAAGGGCCAGGCCAGGGTGACATGGCCTGGAGGCAGGTTGCTGGGGTCTTCCTTTTTGCAACCATGCATGGGACACGCCCAGAAATCTCAGCCCCCAGCTGGGGGACTCACCCATCTCCCGGCTTTCAGGCTCAGCTGTGGTGGTGACGGTGATGGGCACAGGGCTCCCACGACTCCCACGGGACCCCCAGGCAGGCTGTGCCCACTGGGCAGGCTGAGCACAGGCTGCAGACGGCCCCTCCGGTCTTCCCAGGCCTGGGCGTGGCCAGGGAGCTGGGCCGCACTCCTCTTCTTGGGGCTCCCTGCCTGGCCTTCCCAGGCCGCCTCTCCCCATCCCCCCAACACAGGCAGGGGCTCTGCTGAATGGCTCCGACACAGGTACTGGCCACTGGGCAGGCCCATGTCCAACCCCCTCGTCCCTGGATGCCGCCTCCCACCCGGGCAGTGGGGCTCGTGCAGGGTGTGCCCAGGATGTGCTAGGGCTGTGGGGTCTCCTGAGGGCAGAAAACCAAACAGCCCCAGGCACCTTCAGAAGCCAGGCCCCCCTGGCCTTGCAGGGGCGTCCCTGAGAAACCCAGGCCCGAGTGGGAGTAAACGGGGATCCTGGCAGGCCGCTCAGACAGGGGAGGCTGCGTTCGTTCGGCCCCAGCTCCCTGCCCCCACCCCAGCTGCCTGGGGGTGGGGGAGCCCAGGTGCATGCCTGGTCTGCGGGGCCACCTGGGGGCCGCTGGAGGCCTGCCGTGGCCAGGCCAGGGCCAGAGGAAACAGTTCTTTGGTATTGAAGCAACAAAAGCAGTGCAGGAGAGCGCCATGCCAATCCCCGTGGCGGCCAGGCTCTCTCCTTCCAGGGGCCCTGAGGGTCCTCACTGGCCTCCTCCCACCCTAGGCCTGCACTAGGAGGCTCCCCGCTGGGCCTGGGGCGGCTTGGCCTAGGCTGGGGGCCCACCTCTCCTGGGAAGAAGGCGCCTGCCCGGGGTGTCTGCGGGCCCTGGACTGCAGTGCCAGCCATGGGTCCCTGAGTGGGCGGGGCGGGGGCCCGCCTAGACCTAGGCCAGCCACTGGCTCCCCCCCCCCCCCCCGCGGCCTCTCCTCGGCCTGTGGACGCCGCTGCTCTGGCTGCAGACAGAACAGTTTCTTTTGCCAAGTCTGCGTGACTTACGGGAGAGCCCGCGAGTCTGATTTTCTCCTGGTAAGAGACAGAAATTCACCCTGCTTTCCGAAAACACCTGCCAGGCCCGTGGCCACGGCTGCCTCCCTGGGAGTGGCTGGGGCAGGTCCCCCGGGGGAGAGGGGGGCGCCCTGGGCTGCAGAGATGCCCCTCCCGGCCATGACCAGAGGCGGCGTCCGAGTCTCTCCTGGGGGTGCAGGTGCAGTGACAGAGACGGGGCGGGTGGGCTGTGCCCCCCAGCCCAACCCACGCTCCACGCCGTCCAATCACAGCCACGCCTCCAACAAGACAGAGTAGGAAACAGGGTGCCTTTTTAATAGCAATCAAATACGCCGTCTTGAGTCAGCAAGGCTCCTGAGTCCGGCCCGGGGCCTGGGCGGCCTGGAGCGGGCAGCGCGGGGCTGGCGGCCAGTAGGCCGGGCAGCCCGCGCGTGTCCCTGAGCCTGTGTCCTCTGCGTGGCCAGCCCCGCCCGGGCGGGAGGCGGGCGGCGGGTGTGCTCACGCGCTCGCACACACATGCGGCATCCCGGGTCTGCGGCGGGCGGCGGGCAGGGCCCTACTTCTGGATCTGGAAGAGGAAGAGCCGCAGGTTGATGTTCTTGGCGGCCAGCAGCTTGTTGCACTCCACGGAGTCGACGATGGGCAGCGGCACGTAGTCGGTCTCGTTGCTCTCGTTGGTGAAGACGAAGTGGTAGATGACGGGGCTGATCTGCACGTCGTCGTAGGGGCCCTTGAGCAGCAGGAAGGAGCACTCGAGCGGGGCGGCGGCCTTGCTCTTGAGCAGCAGCTGGAAGGAGAGCGTGCGCTTGCAGGACAGGTTGGGGTTGCGCTCCGAGTCGTTGACGCGCGCCTTCAGCACCCACGTCTGGTTCAGCACGGTGAACCGGGGCGTCTCGTAGTACAGGCGCGTGATGAAGTCGTCCGTGCGGTACGGCCGGAACTGGACCTCTGCGGAGACAGACAGGGCGCGAGGCGGCCGTCAGCGGGCGGAAGTGGGGGGCTCCGCCGGGCGCAGCCCCAACCAGACAGCAGCCAGCTCGGCCCAGGCTGCCCACCCCGGCCAGCGCGCGCGCCCACAGTCCGGGGCCCCACGTGGAGGAGGCTGCAGCCCGCCCCGGCCCGCCCGCCCACCCGGCCGGCCGAGGAGCGGCGGGCGGGGAAGCAGACACACAGACAGGAGCGTTCTGAGAACAATGCACTTTATTGGTTCCGATACAGAGCTGCGGGGCAGCGCGGGCGGCCGGCACTGTGGCCACAGTCCTCTCAGCGCAGCCCATGGCCAGCAAGTCCCTCCACAGAGACGGCCAGTCCTTTCCGCGTGCCGGGCTCCCTCTCTGGCCACCTGCGCCCGCCAGGACCCTCACGGCCCGGCCGGGCTGGCCTGCTTGTGCCACGGTGCCCCCAGCGGCCGGGCTGCCACGGACCAGGGCCCTGGCTGCTGCCGCCGAGGCCTGGGCTCTTGGCCTCTCAGGCCTGCGCAGCCCACCCCAAGCCAGGTCCAGAGGAGGCTGGATGGTGGGACTGGCTGCCCATGACTGCCCTTGATGCTGACTAGCCCCTGTGGGGCCAGGCAGGGAGAGGAAGGAGCCGCCCGAGGGCCGGTGCTGGCAGGTGTGGCTGCTGTCCTCTGCATGTGGGGCGGGCTCCGGTCCCGCTCCTGTTCCCCAGATGTCCCCAGCATGTCCAAAGTGGTGGCTGTGGCCGGGACAGGCCATGAGATCCAATGGGCCTGGTGCAGTCCGGCCTGCCCTTCTCTGGGCGTCCACTCCCGGTCAGCAGTTTCAGTCGGGCACCCTCGGCCTGTCTCGAGCCCTGGCCCTGAACAGCTTCTCGCTGGCCTCAGGAGGCCCGTGGTCACCGTGGTGACCGGCCATAGGCAGCCCCGACGTGCTGAGTCCTCTTCTGGGCCCCGGGCCCCGCAGGACAGGCCCCGGCCCTCAGGTCCCGCTACCCCCGCCCTCCGTGTCAGCCCCGACTGTCCCTCGGCGCTACAGCCGCAGGGAGAGCAGGTAAGGACGTGGGGCTTCGAGCCATGCAGATGCCCGGCCCTGCCCAACCCCACTCGGCCTCTGCTCGGCGCCCCAAGGCATCCTCCCAGATGCCCACCATCCAGCGCAGCCCGCGCCCATAGCCACCCACCTGCCCGCCCACCCGGCCCCAGCCTGCGGCATGCAGAGGGCGGCAGGGCCCCCTTACCTGTGTAGCCAATCTTCTCGAAGCTGAGCAAGCTGAAGATGCCGCTGTACAGC